CCGCGCTGCCTCTTCTACCCGCGTCGCCATGAGGTGACGGCAGCAGCGAAACTAGCGGCTCGACAAGGGACACGGAACCTCGTAGGGCCTTGCGCCCCGCCCCTGAACCTCCGCGGCCAATCGCCGTATGCCGTGTTCCCCATGTGACCGGAGGGGGTTGGTCCCCGAGGGGATGGAGCTGGATGGGGGTGGGGAGCATTGAGGCAGGGGCTGGGCTTCTGCATGGCCGAAGGGCGAACGCAGGCCTTGTGAGTCTGCGCGGACGGAGAAAAGGACTCTGAAGTGGACTACAAGACCCAGCAGGCTACCCGGCTACAGCTCGCAAGCCCGGATCGGGATTGGGTCGTAATGCGGCGTCCTGAGACGCGGAAGTAGCCGCCGTGCTGCGCGTGCAGCCTACTGGGAATTGTAGTTTTCTTGGGGGCGATGTACCGGTACCGGAAAGTTCTCTTTATTATCCTGCAGGAAAAGTTTAGAAATATCCCAGGGTTTGGGAGGGAGCGGGATCGGGGAGCCGTTTTTGTGTTTTTGTTTTTGTTGCTCTTCTTTGGAATTGAGCCCGACTGAGGTTAGGTTAAGGGGAAATACTTCGTGACTTTCAAGGCAGGAGAGATGTAATGGCTTTCAGAATTTGAGGTTTCTGGCTAGGACACCTGCTCAAGTCTGGCTGCTCCACCAGAGCTCTCAGCACCGAGTACCTGTCCTGAGCTCCTGCGGGGTGGGGACTGCGTCCTAGTCACCGTGGCTAACCAGCCATGGGCATTTAATACATGTTGAATGTATCCTTTCTCCGTTACAGAATTTTTTAAACAAACTCGGATTGCTGAATCGATTTTTTTTTTCTATACGATTGGGGCGGGGTGGAGTTTTCTTCAGGAGTACTATGTATTTCCATCTGATGGAACCAGATCTCCAATAACGGAGCTTCTGAAAGTCACGGACCGTCATAAAATCCTGACATACAGTCTCAAATAATTCATTAAAATTTGTGTAAATACTATACCATTTTTTTTATTAGAGTTGAATACAAAACAGTGGTAGCAGACGCCAAAAATTTAATAACATGCATTAGAATAAATGTCAATATTGGGGAACTCCAGCTATTAATTTATTTCTGTAAATTTGGGGAGAGTACCATTATTTTTATTTAATGGGCAGAATACCTCAATCCAGTTTTGAGATTTCAAGACTAAAGCAATAGATAATGAACCTATACCCAGACTCTGTATAAAGCTGATGGCCTCGGGCACCATGCTTCATCTTCTTAAAGGCAGAAGTCCCAGCAAGATGCGGAATAAATCTATCAGCAATGCTGCTTCTAACGTGTCTAGGGAATTGAGTGTCAAAATGCACTGTAGTTAAATTGTGATACAATAGAACACTATACAGCTACTAAAAATGATAAACACATTTTAAATTGACCTGGAAAATATGTATAGCATAATGAGCTTTAATAAATCCCATTTATATAGAATTGCCTGTGTGGTTATAAAGAGATGTTTAGAAGTATATTGACCAAAATGATAATAGTGTTTTCCCCTGGATGGTGAAATTTGGGAGTATTTTTACTTCATGATTTTCTCTATTATTTGAGTATAACTATGTATGGAACAAAAAAATCAATAGTTATCTTTATTAAGAAAACAAAAGAATTCTGCAAGTGACCTCAAGTCTTATAATAAATTAAAATTTTTTAATTGTATTTATTTATACACATTTCTATTTCAAAAGGGGTTTGAGTGGCTTTTAAATATATACACAATAAGCTATTACCTATGTGTGTGGTGTGTAGATACGGTATATAGATATATAGAGAGCATGTCATCCATGGGGGACGGGGAAGAGAGGGAGAGAGAGAAGAAAGTGGAAGTGAAAGTAGGATAGGGAAAATAAGATGAAGTCATGGGTGAGTTGATTGTATAAAGCACATGCCTTGAGATCTTGTACACAGCTGGAGGTGAACCAAATTTTTATTTTGAGCTTCTTGACAGCTGAGAAAAGAGGAAAACACTATTTTCAAGATGATTCACAACATCACAAAATAAAAACAAACTGGTCTGGTTGCTCAAGAGAAACGTAGCTGTTACTGCTCCTGTGAGAAATGAATTTTAGAGATTTGTTTCTTATAACATCTTCAATGGAGAGGATGGTGCTTTTAAACTCTGCCCGCAAGTTCTTTGATGCACCTCCCTTCAAAAGCTGGAGTCTGATTCCTCCCTTCTAGAATGTGGGTGGGCCGGGCTTATTCCTTCGATTGGCTACTAAGGAATACATAGCAGAAGTGCTGTGTAGCTTCCAACACTGTTAAGAGAAAGAATAGATTCTGCCTGGCTCTCTAGGTCTTGGGTTACTCTCTTCTTCCTTGGGTCAAACTAACCTGATTTTTGATAAACCCATTCTTTGTTTAGATTTTTATCTTAAATACCTCAAAGAGGTTACTGTCAAGGCTTTGCCCAACCCTCTCGCCCTCCCCCCCAAAGCACTTTGCTTATCTCTGCTGGAATTCATTGTCAGGGTAATATTTTAGGTATTCAAGGGCTATCAAGTCTTTTAAGAGGACACATTCTCTTTGCATTAATTATTCTCTCTTTTGCTCAAGGAATTATTGACTCTATTAACAACTGTGCCTGAAAGGAAAATGAAGGTCACCAGGAAAACAGCTCCACTTTGGGTAGGAAGTATTCTCCCCAGGCTCCCTGAGGGCTATGAATAGGACCTGAATATGGGCTCATTTATTTAGATGTTTATTCAACAGCCATGAGCCTGAGGCACAAAACAGTTCTGAACAGTAAACTCAGTGATGTCCCCAACTCTATCATTTTGGCTGGTGGACTCACCACTATTACAGAAGCAAGATTCTGTTGGCCTTATAGCCCATATCAGGAAACTTGGAACCTCAGAGTTCATAGCTGGACAAAGGACCATTTAGAAGTTTAGCCTATAATGTTATTCCTTAAGGAAGAGGCTTCAGACCCACTAGGTTCTTCTGTTTTGTTTTGTTTTGTTTTTAGGTTCTTATACCATGTCAGTACAAGAGTGAGGAGAGTCTCACAGATTTAAAAAAAATACGCATATGTTAAATTTCACCAATAAGAGCCTATTTCTAACAAGCTCCTCATTTCACCAATGAGAATTCATTTCTAAACTTCATTTTGCTACTTAGCAAAGTGTCTGGTGTTAATTGAGCTATGGCTAACAGAAGCATTTATAGCTGGAATATGGACTCTCTGATTAATATAGCTGACCACCCCTGGCATGTGAAGTCCTGAGCAGGGTCATTGCCAGCCCTTAGTTTAACACACACACACACACACACACACACAGAGAGAGAGAGAGAGAGAGAGAGAGAGAGAGAGAGAGAAGCTACTACACTGACTTCTGACAGATCTTGTCATACTCTATAATATGATCACAAGTATTCATTGATAAATCAAAGAAGTAATGTATCTTATCAGAAGAGTAGAAATGTAGAAAAGGGAAAGTCAAGGAGGCCAGGCTGGCAGAGCCCATCCAAGCAATGTTTGGTGAAGAGAGGATCTTGGTCAAAAAACAGAAATTCAAATATAATGGCCCAATTCACAAGGCTATCCCTAACATGGAGGCGGAGGCCCTGTCCTCCTAACCTAATGCCTTTGAACAGGGAGAATTGTTTTAATTTCTTTTCCTAAATATATTTTTATTGATTTCAGAGAGAAAGGGAGAGGGAGAGAGAGCAAGAAGCATCACTGATGAGAGAGAATCATTGCATTGATCAGCTGCCTCCTGCAGACCCCACACTGGGGATCGAGTCTGCAACCAGGAATTGAACTATGACCTCCTGATTCATAGGTTGATGCTCAACCACTGAGCCATGCCGGCCAGACTGTTTTAATTTCTTACTCACCAAACAACCTTGCCATTATAATCTGTCTCCCAGGTGGGTCTGACTATGGAAGCAGGTAGGAGGGCAGTGTAGAGGATGTAGATATATATACGTTTCCATTTGTTGAGGCACTTGTGGTAGGCAGTTAGACATGAGCAGAGCAAGGACGATGGGCCAGGCACAGAAGGTCACCAGGGTGGAAAGCCCCTGGTGTCTATAAATGGACAATTATAGGGTTGGACCTCATTCACAGGGTGACCTTTCCTCCCTTAATATATCACTGGTCATGCAGTTTGGACCCCCCTAATCTTTCCTTTCTAGAGATAACCTCTAGGTCTCAATTGTATTTCAGCTTCAGGCCCCAAAAAGCAACAAAACCAGACCAGTGACCACATGGCTGACCTCAGGATCAACTGCATTGGATAATGACCCCCTGGCACTGACCAATCAATCAATGGAGACCCAGACCCTAAAAGGACACACCTGGAAAACTGCTAAATATTCTTTTGAGATCTTCCCCCAGAACCTC